GTAGAACAACTAGTGTGAGATACTGGGGATCTTATGGTGATCTGACGTCAGGTTCAGTTGTCTTTACACCTGATATTAACATATGTTTTGAGTGATTCAATCACAAGTGGTTAGCAGTGAAAACCACTCAAATTAAATCTAGAGGTAAGTGAACATTTTTCAAAAAATGCTATTCTTTTGAACTTTTCTGTTCATTAAAAAATAAAAAATAAACCAGATTCCACAAAAATATTAAGCATTGCAACTGTTATACTGATAAGGTCACACTTTATTTTAAGGTCCAATTCTCGCCATTAACAAACCATGAACCACGACTTTTGCCTCAATAAACTCCTAATTGGCTGCTTATTAATTGTAAGGTAGTTGTTAAGTTTAGGTATTGGGTATATTAGGGATATAGAATATAGTCATGCAGAATATGTGCTTTATAAGTACTAATAAACAGCCAATATGTTAATAATAGGCATGCTAATAAACTACTAGTTAATAGTGAGAATTGGTCCCTATACTAAAATGTTGCCACAGATAATAATCAGAAATGTTTCTTGAGCAGCAAATCAGCATATTAGAATGATTTCTGAAGGATCATGTGACACTGAAGACTGGAGCAATGGTGCTGAAATTTCAATTTTGCATCACAGGAATAAATTACAGTTTAAAATATGTTAAAATAGAAAACACTTATTTTATCATAGTTATATTTCAAGATAATTCTGTATTTACTGTATTATTGATAAAAAAGCAGCTTTGGCAAGCATAAAGACACACACACACACACACACACACTTTAGAGCACTTTAGAGAGCTTGTATACTAAAATCCTGCTGGGAATACAGTTTGCTTTATACTTTATGTTGGGGGTATTGGGACAGGAGGGTCAGTTGCCTGAATCTGCATGCTGGTTATGGCTGTTTGCCTTTACTGCTGAATTATGAATATGTGGGAGATTAATTTTTCATCGGTCTCTTAGCAGGAGCCTTAGGCGGCAGGGGAGGAGCGATAGTCATGTGACAGTGGTTGACTCATCTCTAATTGATGTAGTTGTTTGGCAGCTCCTATAGACAGATAGCAGGGTCACTGAGGAGGTGGGGTTTGGATTTGAATCCATTTTTGGAACATGGAATTATTACCATTTAGAATATGAATTAGTGGTCGCCACAATTAACTAATTATGAGAAGTCAAACTGTTTACACTTCAATAATTAGAATTGGCTAGGATGATGATAATGATTATAACTAAGCAGCCAAGACTTTGGAATATGTAGTGATATTATTTAGTGATTTTTCTTTTAATTTTTTTGAAAATTGTGCAAAAATTTTACCTTTAGGGGTACAACAGCTTGTCACTGTGGCAGTACCCTCTACGTTTACATGCCACTAAATAATCAGATTGAAGGCTCAATTAGAATGAAAACCCTTCATGTAAACACCTTAATTGATTCAATTGAGTTTGATCTAAATGAACTTTTGATCAGGTTAGCATTCATGTAAACTGAACTACGTTCAGATTCATCAATCAGTATGTACCTTTTAACCTTCTTTTCCTCTAGGTTTCATAATAGTACTGTACCATAAGAGTACATATTGCTACCTTAAGGATACATAATTACTACTCTAAGTTACTAATGTATTGTACCCCTAAAGGTACGATTTTTGCTCATTTTTTCGGACACTGTAGCTAATTAATTACATATGTTAATTTTCATCATTTTCCTTCTTGAACCTATTTGAATTATTCAGTTGTTTTACTGATAAAACAACAATAAAGTTAGTTCAATTGATTTAAAAAACTTGAATTTAATTGAAAGTCACTCAGAGACTTTTCAGAGAGAGTTTTTAGCTCGTTTGGTGTGTGTAGGTTATGAAACAATATGCCACGCTGTGCCCCCCACAAAATAAGTGTTTTTATATAATTTAGAAATAAGTGTCAGGGGAAATTATGGACAATTATAATTTTCGTCATAGTCATTCATTGTGCCAGTTTAAGGTGACAATTACTGGCATACAAATCCTGTAGTGTAAATTCTAAATAAATCCCATTTGTTCCTCTCTGGGGGGCCCGGCCTGCTGGACTCTAAGTGTGCTTGTTTTGCAGGATGGAGGGAGCATGTCTGGAAAAAAAAAGACTAAAAGAAAACATTTTAGTCTTTTTTTAAAGAAGACTTTGACAAGACTTTTGACAAATGACAAGTCCTTCAGTATGTCCCGATTCATCTTCCAACAACAACAAAAACTATGGTTAGGTGTCCTGACATGTCACTTCCTGTGAAGAGTTCTTGAGCAGAATAAATTGCGGTCACCGACCAAACTCACCAACCACAAACATTATTCTTCACACACTCACACAAACATGCACGCATATTTTGCAAGCACCTTGTTCTCCAGTGACTAATAACCAGAACCACATCAAGTGCAATTAGGATGATTGACGGATGCCAATAGCCTCTTGTCTGGCATTTCAGTTTAATTAATTCCATTGTTTAATCAAGCACAAGATTTAATCTTCGGACTTCAGTTGTATTTTTAATGGAAGGTGGAGGTCCAGAATGGCTGCATGCTTTAGAGCGGCTCGTTGTCGTTGCTTTGATTAGCTCATGATTACAGCCCATCGAACGCGAAGAAAAAAATCACGCCAACAGAACAAACTTTAATGGCACTTTGTAAACATCGTGCAGGTCTAGCCTGCTTTGACTATTGACAAGTTGACTGTGTTATCATTATGTTGTCAAGCTGCCATGGTGAAAAACCATGTTCCCTTTTAGTGGTGTGTAAGTGAGGGAGATGTGTATTCCCAGAATAGACATGAACCTCCGACATATAGAGCCGTTTGCTCACACTGCGACTCTAATTATTTCCATTTGCTGAAATGATCAGGCTCTGACCAATGCATGTGTGCTTTTTTCCCCTCCACTGAACAACCGCTTTTATTGTACCTCTGGCACTTTTATTATTATTATTTTTTTTTTAATTTTTACATTTTTGTATTTTTTATTTTTTAAGACTGGCTGAGATCTTCACCGTTAATTATTATGGCTGTTTGAGAGGTGCAATGAATAAATAAATGATTGAAGTAAATAATCATGTTTTTTTTATGTGGAATTACAAGAAACTTACTAACCACATTTTTTAATATTTAAGCTGACAAACAAAAAAAGTAACAGTAAAATCAGGTATAATAATAATAATAATAATAATAATAATAAATGAGGTAATTTCATAATAATGATAATAATAATAGTTATTGTTATTTTTTATAATAATAATAATTATTATTATTAATTAATAATTACATCATGGCATAATAATAATAATGATTGTTTGTTATTATTGTTGTTTATTTTTATTATCATACTTTTAATATTTATTTTTGGCATGTATAGATGTTTTATCCATATGTCAGACCCAGACTGTCAATTACCCATTAAATTAATCATAAATATGAATTATGTTTAGAACTATGATAATATAATAACCAAATTAATAACCAAGTTTTATCAAAAGTAGTATGTACTTGATTACCAAGGAGACAAAGGTACTTGAAATGTAAGACGTGTGATTCATGAAGAAAAAACAATGTACATATCTTTTGTGAACATAAAAAATGTATTATGTGCCAATCATGCTGTAAATCTGCCAAATTAGATTGGAATATATGTTTAATTGAGTGTATTTTTTAGGTTGAAATCAACCTTAACAAGACTAAGAATAAGTAATGTTATTCCAAAAATTCCATACAATCTATCCAGTATGAAAGTGTGCACTTGAAACGCGTCTGATAGTGTCAGTGTTGTCATAGTGCGGCTGTGTACAGTATCGTCTGCAGCAAGCACAAGCCCTTGTCTCTGTATATAGGACATCTCTGATCTTGGTGTGATTTGCAGACAGCAGAGGGGAGGAATGGCACTGTAACTGTGGTAAAGGCAGCGCTGGCTCTCTGTTTCTCAGCTGGAGTGATCTCCCACCGCGGAGCGCTGGAAGAGGCCTGAGAGGCAGGCAGCAGCGGCCCACTGTGAGGCTGCCTCGCCAGGAAACATTCACTAAAAAGGCCTGTCAGTCTCCACTTTAACTGCCTAACGTAGAGAATGTCACAGTGTGTGAATGGATGTAGGCTTTATAATTTTGTAGATTCATTCCACCCACACATACTGACATTTTATCTTTTTTAAAAATCACAAGACGCAAAAACTACTGACATGAACAGCATAATGGCAGTTGGTAAAATCAGATTTGTTGGATTTGTTAACTTTCACATTTGCCTTACTGAAAGAAGATGATTTTATTCTGGGCTGTTCATATATATATATATATATATATATATATATATATATATATATATATATATTCGCTGTGGGTTATCCATGAACTATTATCATTATGGTTTCTCGTGGTGGATTGTTGCTATAATAACTGTACTGTAAATTGCTTTTGATTGAAATGTCATGTCAGTTAAATAACAGATTAGTAATATAGTTAGTCCAGTCTGCAGTGTTCTCGATAAAATACATTAATGCACAGAAGCCATTTTCTCTGAAAATACATAACGTTTCAGGATTCAGACATGACCAAGAGGGATTCTCTGCTGCTTTATGACATGAAAAATGAAATTGTAAAATGGCAGAAGAAAATAATTTTTGCAGAACGGGTGGTTTCATAGCTGCTGACCTAGATAAGCTCTTATTTTTGACATCTGAGGAAATGTGTACATAAACAACAAAATTAGCCCCTGTGACGTTTTGCTGTAGAGAAACAGCACCACCTTGTGGTCACAATGATTTTGTTCCTCTTAAACAGTGAAACGTTTATGTACTGTAATTTAATATTGGAGGCATCATAACTTTGACAGAAACAACGTTTTATATGTGACAAACAATCTATATATTTATTATAAATATTTATTTTTTTAAACTGAGGGACTGGTGAGCTCTGTTTGTGTGAGTTTGTGTCTTTGCATGTGAGATCATATTTTTTTCTACACCACTGTCCATCTGTTTTTATTGTAGCTGTTTTGCAGCATCTTCTGCTGGTCTGGAGGATAATTATGCCCCGAGGAATGATTGAGGTAAATCTTCCTGTTACACTCATGCTTCCCTGAGGATCTTTGCAGTTACAAAACACACACCATCCAAAATCCACACAAGGTAAATAATATTCCGATGTGCACATTACCTAAAACAGAGCTGCACTCAATATTATTTCCTCATTTAAAAAGTTGTAAACATGAAATCAACAGTACTCTTAAAGCCAAGATGCCCAAACCAAGGTTGGCCCATGATAAACGTTTATTTGGCCTGAATGCCATGCCATAACACAAGAAGGGGGGGGGGGACATGCCACTGAAGAATATCTTCAATTATAATTTAGTTAATTTAGTTTTATTATTTTTTTTGTTTTATTTCTGTATCAAAAAATTAATAATTTGGTTTTATAAAAAAATATGTATATTATTTTTTTTTTGTTTAAAATATTTAACAGGGCTCTACAGTGCGACCATTTCAGTCGCATTTGCAAATAGTTTGAAACAAAGTCACAGCTCAGCCGCTGCGCATCTCCATTCAAACACAGCGGTGTCTCATTTATGAATGAACTGCGTTTTTAAACGAATCTTGTGAGTCAATGATTCATGATTACCCATTCATAAATACAGTCCATTGCTTCATTCCTGAAGCTAATTTTTGATCAAATTTTGGATTATTGATTAGAAGGTGCTCCTAAATATTTGACTGTGCTCCTAAATTTTTCAAGTTAGGAGCACAAGTGCTCCTAAAAAGAAAAATAAGCGTAGAGCCCTGTTTAATCTATTTTAATATAATAGAATTGAAAATAATGCAAAATTTACTTTTGACCATGGCCTGCAAACAAGTTTGATTTTTGGCCCTTCATATTAAAAAGCTTGGGCACCTCTGGTTTAAAGACACCAGTCTTATCACTAGCCTAATTAAAAAAAAATAATAATTAATTGTTGTAATGAACCATGATGTAACGAGAGACTCTGGCTTGACAGACGTGACGTGAGCAGACTCTGGCTCTGGTTTAGTGCCGTGTTCTTTCTCCACGACACCCACAGTGAAAGCAGATCCACTCAACTGCAGCGCAAAGTCTATATATTCAGCAGGGGACCAGTGAACTTTTCCCCCAGGAAGCTGGGAGCAAATGGGCTCATTCAGACCCACCCGAAAAATGTCCTTTAACGCCACATCATTAAAGTCCACCCGGTTAGAAAGTTCACAAAAATCCTGAACATAATCCTCACATCAGTACACGACGAAGACTATGGGAACATGATGGCTACTTATAGCAAACAAGAGGGTCACAAGACAAGAACAAACCAATGGGAAACAAGACACATGACTAAGACAACCAATCAGAACATGACACAATGAACAAGAGAACCAATGGCATGAATACATGAGGGCAAGGGAAGCATGACATAAACAGGGAGCATGACTAAACTACAAAATAAAAGACATGGAAAACATGAACATGAAACAAAACCCAAACACCAAACCCCACATTACACATGATTTATTTTGTGAGGGATGGGGGGAGGACTATGATTTATGTGTGTTTTTTTTTTAGCATTTTAATGTAATTAGAGTTAGATTATTTTGATATATTATTAATTCAGATACGTTAAAGTCATTTGGCCCCTTGGAAATTTGCTAGTGGGCCCCAGCCCCCTGGATGAGAACTACTGGAGTAGATTGTATAGATTTAATTTTTGTTTTATATTAAATTTATGCCACAGATGTTATACATGGTGTTATTTTAATGACAAATGTCAAGAGTGCATTATCGTAACAGACATTTTTCATTAAAATTATGCCATATTCCTACTGCACGGAGGTATGCAAATATGGATGCAGTAAATTGCTGAATGCACCTTTAAGTGCAAAAAAATATGTTCTAGTAGAGACTGTAGAGACTTTGTTGTGGTGATTTTAATTGGGGATAAAGCTGCGAGTCACCGGCAGGATATTATTGAAGAAAACAAGAAAGCACAGTAAAGGTGGTCGTTTTTTGCCGTTAACATAGACTCTGAACCCTGAAGCCTTCAAAAGCTCAAAGCACGGCTGAGAGCCCAGCTCTTCTGCTGCTTATTAATATAAACACGTGATCTGTGAGAAGGAAATGCAAAACAGGTCGAAGAGCTATTTACTGAATGTGTCTTCATGAGCAGTCATATTTTATAGAAGTAACTTCAAAGAGTTAAATTTTTCAGGTCATCAGCAAGATCAAAACATTGAAACGAGCCCTTATGTCCTTCAGGCAGATCTGAATGTGCTGGAGAGGCACTAATTGAGCAAAATAATACAATTAAGGCTAAATCCTCCATTAACGAAGTGTTCAAGGTTGCTTACTCTGTGCAGAATTGACTCTTGGCTGGAGACTGTTATCATGCTGATTTAAAAGGAGCAGCGTGTTAACGAGCAATCAATTATGCCCCTCAAAGTGTAGATGTGTGTGTTTGGCAGGGCAGGGCAGGGATGATGAAGGGTTAATGCATTTATATTTACTACACCCCACTGGGGTGCCAATGCAGAGGCAGGATGTAGGAAATGTCAGTGGGCACAACAGTATTCACAGATTTGTCGCCTTCGTTTAGATGTTTTCATTCAGCTAAACACATCTGTAAAGTCATGTACACAGAAGATCCAGTTCTGCCTAGAGGTTTTTAGACAACTAGTAAGTGTAACACATTTGCTTCTTGGTTGACCAGGTAATTTTGGCTTATTCTTTACTGTGGTTTCTTTCATTTGATTGCCATAAAGGTAGATGTTTGTTCATCCTAGGCTTTTAGCCAGCAGGTGTCACCCTGCAGCGTTTGCTGAGCAGACTTGAGACTTGTAGGGATATTTAACCCAAAAATAAAGATCTGTCATCATTTACCCGTTTATGTCATTCCAAATCTTTATCAGTTTCTTTCTTCTGGGGAACAAGAAAATATTTTGAAAAATGCATTTTCATCAAGATGTTTTGTGTTCTGCAGAAGAAAAATTTGTACAGGTTTGGAATTACATGAAGGTGAGTAAATGATGACAGAATTTTAATATTTAGGGTGAACTATCACTTTAATATCCTTTTAGTACAGTGGTTCTAAACCAGGGGTCGGGGGCCTGTAGGGGGCTTTAAAAATGTCTAAGGGGCCTCAAAATGACTTAAAAATAATTTAAGAGTAAACAAGCGTTAAAATATGTAGAAACAACAAGATATTTCTTATTTTAATTCACCCCCTAAACAGAGTTTGTTTTTCTGTGAATAATTATAAAAATGTGATTTCTAGATTTGGAAAAGCCATAAAAATTAATAATAATAATAAAAAAAACTAAAAACATTTTATGTGCAGTTTTCTAGTTTCTAGACAGGAATAAAATGAGTAAAATAAAATAAATATATTTATTTATCCTAAATTCTTATCTGGTAAATTAGGAACAAAAAATACAAAAGTCATAGGATGTTGTTGTGGACAACGGGAAGCCTTGGAGTCAAAAGGGTTGAGAACCACTGCTTTAGTGAACTATTACTTTCTAGTGCAGTGTAATTACTTGGCACAAGCACAAAATTAGAAATGGTTCAAAATAAGGATTTTTTTGGAGTGCTTGTGATAATGAGGAGGAATGCCATTTGGTAGATGTAGGGTTTAGGTTAATGACTATAGTCAGGACTTTTCTTCTGCTATTCATCATATTAATGGTTTCTCTGTAGCCAGTTATGATCAGATCCATTATAAGCAGACACGTTAATAAATAACAATGAAATCAGATTTGTGTGTGAAAGTAGATAAACTGGCTTGAGAAAATGGTGAATAATGGGTTTAAAGAAAGAAATTCACTAGAGCAACAAAGGGAGTAGATTTATTTATTTTTTTTAGTTTATCACTTGTCTTGCAGAAGCTGTTCAGAAGATTTGGTTTCTGCTGATTATAAAGCACATTTTGAACCCTGAGTCCCTTCCATAGGCCAATGCATTGCAGGATAGACAGTGAACAAGAGAACACTTTTGTCAAGAGAACTCTATCCTGCTGTGTTCCTTGCTTTTTTGATTACTTGTTTGCATTCATTTTTAAAGACCTGAATGCTTAAGTGCAGTATCCAGCTACACTTCTGTCTGTTATCTCTGCAATCACAGCAATACCCTCCCTCTCAAAGTAGCAAAATGCATCACTAAGAAAGACAGTCTTTTGCCCTTTCAGTTCTTTGTAAGTGTCTACACAAAAAGAGTGTGAGAGAAAGAAATAGAGTCAGTGGATCAGAAAGAAGTTGAGGCTGGTGTATTATTTCACTCGTGACACTTCAAATGAATGCAGATGGTGGTTGGGTAAAATTACAACAACGTGAGGGTGTCCCTTTTTTCTCAGGTCTGTGACTGATATGTGGATAAGATGTGTAACAATGAGCCTGCTGGTCCTGACATTCTCTGTCTCTCTAAAAAAAAAAGTCTTTGTCAATCAAAAACGTGCCGGTCTGAGCTGTGGCACAGTGGTAGTGCACAAGCTCAGGGTTATAGTGCTCCAGTGGGGACGCAGCTCTGGAAATGTTGTCAAACCAAAAAATAAAAAAACAGAAATATTTTCCATGCTATCTTGTGTTTCCATGTTCCAGAAGTGTGACCAGGTAGCATCCAGTCATGAAAAACCTGCCAGGCGTATCCTTTAGGCCCACATCTACATCTGCTGAGCTCCAAAGAAAGCTCTGCAGATTTCCACAGGATTGGAACACCTGTCAATCATAAAATTCTTAAAATCCCTGTTCCCTTGCCTGGATGTTTCTTTAAAAAATTTTGATATTTTAGTAATGCTTGAAGTTACAGTACCAGTTATCTCTGTTTACCACATTTTCCCTCAAAAACTGCTAATATACGGTATGGAAATAACAGTCAGGGCCAATTGGGTCAGATTACCCCAAAGTGTAAAAAAAACCCAGTTGTCAGAAACTGACATTTTTTTTAACTCTTCTCTGGTGACGTGTTTTGATTGTGTCAGTGTCTATTTTGTGGACATGGAAAAGCTACAATAGGTAAACATGTCAGCTGTGTGAACGCTAACAATATT